TATTATGTTATTTTTTTCACGTCAATAGCGTTTGTCATGTAACTTTTCCGTTTTTACTACACATCGATACATATTAAATAATTTGCGGTTGAAACGTTTATTAAAATCACATTTAGTAATAGCTATACGTTGGTTTCGAATGTAACGGTCAAAATGTTTATTAACTGTATCTTTTGGATCGTAGATAATATAAATTACAAACTATAGCACAATTTTCAAATGTATCACAAAACTAATAAGTAATATATCCAAATATACAGTGGCGGTTTTTTGATTTTTTTCTGGGTGGGGTCCTTTAACATTATCTTTTAATATATACAAATAAAGTTTAACCCATTAATAATATTCAACAATTACTTTGGTAACTGGTAGTAAAATACAATAATATTTTGATAAAAAAAATGTACTTTATTATATTTATTAATTTTCGGTGAAAGATGACTGAAAGTTTTAAATGAATAATTTTAAACGTAGTAGACAATTGTTTTTCCCCCCGACTATAAAAAACGTTGTGGTTTTTAAACCGTTCATCATCAATTATTAATGGTCAATACTTGTCATTGAAGTAAATTTTGTCTTTTTATTCCAATAAACGATCTAAATTGCATCGTGTTTTAGATGTATTGAAAATATTGTTTCCGAGGGTGTTTTATAAAATTTTATGCATTTATTCATCGTTCATTTGAATATAAAAATCATTTAAATGAAGATATCTAGTCTGATATGTGATTTTTAAATCAAATAAAAGTAGCAATAAAAATGTACTATGTCTAACCAAAAAAAAAAAAAAAAGAATTAATAATTAAAACTCACAAAAGCTATAGTATTCGAATGATTTATGTGATAACTACATGTTTCGATCTAAGTCATCATAAAATTGCATAAATAATTTAATAAATATGAAATTTAAAAAAATAAGAACTGAGTGCGAGTAAATAAATCGTAAAAGAAGAAAAAAGTAATTTGATAACGGCCTATGAAATTGTATTTTTTAGTTATACACAATACATTATTATTATTAATTATCTGTGGATTAAATCACTAGAATTTCAAATAAAAGAGTTATTATAATTAAATTATAAAATATGCAATAATATTAACATATATATTATATTATACCATATATATACAATGTGTAAACGCTAATTGAAAACATTCAATAACTTTGCGTAAAGGTATGCAATTTGAATTGTTTTTTAGTTGGTTTGTAATACACAAAAATACACATTTTTATTATCTTCGAATTTTTTTAACTTGATTCGATAGGCACATGTGCAGTACAACTTTTTTTTTCTTAAATGGTAACCACTTAATTATTTTTCGCTTAGTTTTTAATAAATTTTGGTACCTTAATCACTTTTCTAAGTCCAAAATCGGTCAAGTTACAGTAATTTAAAAAAAAAAAAAAAAACAATGGTAAAATGCACGGGATTTTCAATATTTTTACTGTAATTCTGAAAATAATTATTCTAGGGTTATTTAGACTTTACAATTTTACCGTTATTGATTAAGGTGATATTTACACCTTATTATAATTTTAACTAATATTAATTTTTACTTTAATCTGTGTAAGTTATAACTTATAGCATAATAACCGTAAGTAAGTATGTTATTTATTTCTCTACATTAAATGGATATATTGAAATGTATGGAATGTATTAATAATTAATAACAAATTTAATTATTATTTAAGTTAAAAGTTAAATAATTTAACGTATAAACGTATAAATTATTCAAATAGTTGTCTTAACTTATGCTAGATTTATTTGATGTAGCAAAATAAATAACATCTACACTGTATGTATATATATATATATCATTAATGAAGTACTCTGCCCAATCATGTGGGCAAAAAATTATGCAAATATTTTGATTTTATTTTTATTTTTTCTTTATGTCTTATCACTTTTAAAGCTTTTTAAATACTAAGATTTATTCTAAGAATACCTGCGGTGAATTTCGTTTTTCTTCAGTTCTAAAATATTAGAAATTCTGCGTTCTTGTAGGAGGCCCAGGAATTTGATAGTGGTATGGTAATATATAACATATTACAAGTAGAACAGCCCTCTATATGCTTAACATACATTTTTGAAGTTTCTTAGTTATGTTCTTTATTTAATGAAAATTAAATTATAAAGTTAATTTTTATTATTACTACGATTCTATTTAAAATAAATTAAAATCATACTAATTTACTCATTTATGGAACTTTGAAATTAATCAAATTAATTATTCTACCCTACTTTCCTGCCTTGATACAATAAGTAAGGCAATGTTTCAAATCCCTTCTAGCATTACCAACCAGTGCTACACTACATTATAACATTATGAGTTCTTAATGACAAACTGTGTACACCATTAATGTTGTTAATATATTTTCTTAATGTTTCTAGGCTAATTGTTATTTATTATTTAATACTCTGTGCCTGGCTATTTGTTGTCATCTATTATTTCTCAAGTAAATATTATATAACTTTTTTTTTTGGCATTTGTAGAATTATTAAAATTAATTGGACACATTTGCAATGGCATATTTAATTAATTTTAATACATGCAAAATTGCACATGCACTTGAATCGTGTTTGTTTAAAATTCCAAGATAATAACTTCAGTTTTTTCTTTCAATATCTTTGGGGTTAAAGTGGAAAAAGAAAGAGTAAACACTTATTTTTTTATTGTTGAAATGACTTATTACACGATATATAAGTGCACCTTAATAGAATTTTTATTTCCTTCGTTTTTCATACTACTAATTTTCTTCTAGGTACAGTAAGTTTTAAAATTAAATTAAATATGTGCGCACAGAATATAGCATTATAATAAAACACTTAATTGTAACTGAATGTATACTATATGAGCAATCTATGAAGGTCCAGATTAAGTTACTATCTAAATCTTTAAAGATTATACGAATATATCTTATATTTAAAATTCTCCGGTCACAATGTTCGTTATTGAACTGCTCTTAAACGGCAGAGATTGACATGGAAAATCATTGGGTGGTACCATATTATCCTATATTGAGCAAAAAATTCAGTGTTTATATTAATGTTGAGTTCTGTGGTTCGAAGAAAAGTATCAATTACATTTGCAAGAATGTGAATAAAGACCGCGATATGGCTGTGTTTCGAATTGAAAATACTAATGTGAATGCTCCTTAATATAACCTGCCACTTTTTTCTGTCTTGAGCAATTTCATGCCAATTTTCTATGCCCATTTCCTTTAGGTCTTTTGCCACTCCATCAATTTACCTCTTCCTGGAACGTCCCCTTGGTCGTTTTCTCTTAGGTTTCCACTCAAACGCAACCCGTACAGTGTCGTTTTCTTCTCTTTTTAGGATATGACCTAGTCATTGGATCCTTTGACCTTTGATGAAGCTAGTAACTGGAGCCAGATTCATCATTTCCTGCAGTTCTCTATTGAATCTTCTTCGCCAACATCCCATATTCGTGTCAAACACAGGGCCACATATTTTTCGCCAAATCCTGTTTTCAAGAGTTCTTAACCTCCTTTCCGTCGTCACCGTTGTAGTCCAGGCTTCACATCTGTAGTTCAATGTAGGTCTTATAATTGACACATATAATCTCATTTTAGATCTTCTTAAGAGCGTTTTTGAGTTAAGAAATTTCAGTAATGCGTAGATGGGTTTTCCGCTTTATTTATACGTATATTTATTTCTTTAGACCAATCGTTCTTTATGTTCAGAGTTACCCCTAGATACTTGAATTTCTCTACTTTTTCAAACGTTATTTCTTCACTTTGCTGTGGGTCTATGTCACTATTTATTAGTTCCATTGTTTAGTCTTGTTTGTGTTTATTGTTAGACCGACTTTTTCCGCGTTTGTAACTTGACTGCTTCTTAGGCACTGTAATTTTCTTACAACTTTTTCCAGTACCAGGATAAATAGAATTAGGGACAAAGCATCTCCTTGTTTCAATCCTGTGTCTACAGTAAAGGGGGTGGACATTATAATGTCATAACATATATGTTGTCTACTCTCACTGTGTACTGTGTGTTCTCCATACAGAGTTTTACTAGTCTAATCAGTTTTCTAGGAAACCCGAATTCATGCATAATGTTATATAGACTTTCTTTATGTACGCTGTTATACATCTTTTTAAAATCTATGAACAACTGCCACATGTTCTTTCTGTATTCATACTTTTTTTTAATGATTTTTCCTATAACTGACAGTTGGTCTATTGTTGATTTTCCTTTTCTATAACCGCTTTGGTAGCTACCTATATTTTTGTCTACGTATGGCATCAGGCGTTTCAGTAGAATTTTGGCAAATATTTTGTATGCTGTATTTAGGAGGGATATACCATTGTAGTTGTCACACTTTATTTTATCACCTTTTTTATGTAGTGGTATGATGACTGCTTCGTGTCAGCTTGTTGGCATTTGTTCTTCTGTCCAAATTTTATCGCATAATCTAAATAAAACTTTCTGAAAGTTATTTCCTCCGAATTTCAGTAACTTCGCCGGTATGTTATCAGATTCTGGAGCCTCCCAGTTTTTTACACCCACGACTACCACATTCACTTCCTCCTGACTAATGTTCTCGGTGAATGATTCCACGCCCTGCAAGGTGGTATAGACACCGTGCAGAAAGACAACTAACGCTCTGGGGAGATAACTCACGTACAACTTGGTAGAGACGAATTTACGCCCAATGATATTCTCAGACTCATTGGTCATAATATTTTTAATAAAAGTCTGCAAAAGTGCAAAATCGAAAAATGAACAATGAAATTTTGAGCGAAGCAAGAAAAACAATTTTTAGTTTGCAAATATATTATAATTAACATTCCCCACACCTATAATCTATATATACGAGGTATATCCAGAAAGTAAGTTCCGTTTTCTATTTTTATCGCGCTCACGATGTTATCTTAATTACGGTCATATCAGATTATTTCATTTACTTATTTAGAACATTTTAAAACCATTCCGTGACTAGTTAGTGTACGTATGTCACGTGGCGAGTGTTTTAAAATGGATAAACTAATAGAAAATGCCGCCACATGTGAGTTACGATCTGTGATTCGTTTTTTAAATGCAGAGAATATCAAACCAGTTGATATTCATCGTCAAATTTGTGAAGTTTATGGAGAAAATGCGATGAGTGATTCAATGGTAAGGAGATGGGTGCGACTTTTCAAAGAAGGCCGTACAAATGTTCACGATGAAGAACGAACTGGGCGACCATCTTTGATTAGTGATGTTTTGGTGCAAGAAGTTGAAAAAAAAAATTCATGAAAACAGGAGGTTCACATGAATTGTACACATGAAATCATTTATAGGTGGCCAGAACTTCAACGAAGATGATGAGGTGAAAAAGGCTATTAGCGCATGGTTACAATCACAGGCGTCATCTTTCTATGATGAAGGGATACAAAAACTAGTACCTCGATATGATAAGTGTTTAAATAATGGTGGTAACTATGTTGAAAAATAGAGTAATACATGTATTTTATATTCAAATAAAATTTTTATAAAATTTACACATTTACATGTTTTTATTGCCCAACGGAACTTACTTTCTGGACACGCCTCATACATATATATATAATTATATTTAATTTTTCGTAGATACTATCTTAATTTAGTTGTCAAATAATTATTTTTGTTGGCAGTATTATTGTATTAACTATAAATTATAAAGTATTTAAAAAAAATAAAACTTCAAACTTCTTTAATATTTTAATCATATACCTATCAGCATAGGCGCAACTATGGTCAATTTTTTGGGGGAGCTAGAACAAATGCAATGCGAGTATATTTTGGTTATGGAATGTGCAATATTTATAATATCTGAAATAATAATAATATTTGAGGGGGCTATCCAAATATTTTGCGGGCTAAGACCCCCCATGTCCCCACATAATTGCGCCTATGCCCATCAGTATTCAGTAATAACAATATCAATGATCAAGGCTAAGCAAATTAACTAATTATTTTAATTCATTAAGTTTATATATAAAAATATAAGTTAAATTTAAAATTTATATAAGCAGGACTATTTGGATGTCTTATTGGCTTATTTCCAATAAAATGGTCACTACATATTACTGAATTGGATGTAGGTATCCATGGTGTTTCATCAATACTGCAGACATACACACATTATTGGTAGAGAAATTAAAAGTACTATAATATTAGCACATGGTAAGACAAAAACAATACTAACTTCATTCTTTTAATACTTTGTACCCACTTTTCTTTAAGTTCTTTTTTATGCTGTCGATTTGGAAAGTTAAATAATTTATGACCAGTTTTGTATGTATTGCTACAATTCACAACACTAAACATTTTTTGGCCACTTTTCTTTTTATTTTCGCTCATTGTTAAAGGAAAGTTCAAATAAAACAGTAAAATAAGCAAATATTAACACTTAATAGTGAAATTTGTATGTACCGAGTACGAAACTGTTGCTACTAACTAGTTTGCAGATTGTCCACTACGTGGCGCCTTTTCCGTTATCTGCACGGTTTCTATAGGGTGTCGGGCACTATTTTTATTGAATTTTTCCGTATTGTATATCATACATTTTCGTTAATTTATCATAAAATTCATCTTTTTTTTTTTTTGATTGCTAACTAGTTTAAACAAGCTTGTTACATTCCAGGTTGCTATTTTTAATCCCGTGTTTCGTTTCCATTTTTCAGTTTTCAATCCATAATCTCTTGACCGAGGCTTCGATATTTATGATATCATAACTTAAGAGTTTTGCTTAGGTAAGGTTATCAGACCTACGCTAAACCCTCAACTTGGAGGACCAGACCCCAGACAACTAAAGCCAGAGGATGGCTATTGCAGCAGCTAGTGCTGGGCGATGGGGACGCCACTTTCCCTACGACAAGTAAATGAAAATGAAAATTTTAGAAATCGGCAATAGTGGTTCATTCATATTTGGTTTATGGTATAGCTAAAATACAAAGAAGTTACTATTTTATTATATTTTTAATATATTATATAATAAGCAATTTTGTGATATCTATTATTGGAAAACTGGTTTCGACCTCATTACGGCTGAAGTTGCTAGAAATCTACCAAAAAGAGCCATTGTTCATCTAGCCCATATATACAACTCAATACTCAGAATATCATATTTTCCTCTTATTTGGAAATTTTCAAATATAATCATGATTCAAAAGCCAATTAAACCCTCTGATGCTACATCTTCCTATAGACCAATAAGTCTCCTACCCTTCTTTGCAAAAATCCTAGTAAAACTTCTGCTCAAACGTATTGCTCCAATCATCGCTGAAAAACAAATCCTCCCCGATTATTAATTTGATTTTCGTACCTCTTATTCTACTATACATGAATTCCTCCGGGTGGTTGATGCAATCTCCTATTCTCTTGAAAAAAAATAATATTGAACGTGTGCTTTCTTAGATATTTCTCAGGCGTTTAACTGTGTTTGGCATCAAGGTCTCTAATTTAAACTGAAATCCTTCCTAACTACATCCTACTTCCTACTTTTTAAATCTTATCTCACTGATTGCTCTATTAAAATTTTCTATGGAACTGCCACGTCCGAAATAGCAAGTATAAATGCTGGAGTTCCTTAAGGTGGTATATTATCTCCATTGCTATATAATATCTTTGTCTCTGAGCAACCCACATGATCAAACACCACAGTCGCGGACTATGTGAATGATAAAGTGATTATATCGATTAATGATGACCCATCGTTGGCCTTCTTATATTTGCAAACCCATCTGGGCCTCATGAAAATATGGAATACCTAATGGAAATTTAATGTAAATCAAAATAAATCAATACATATTAATTTTACTCTAAGGCAAGCATCTTGCCCGAATGTACTTTTTTATGGCATCCCTATCCCTTCATCACCCTCTGTAAAATACCTTGTTCTAACACTTGACCAACGCTTAGCCTGGGCTCAACATCTACGTGAAAAAAGACTTTCCTTTAACAACCAACTTCGTATGCTTAAGCATTTAATTGGTAATAAAGCCATCCCTAGTATCAAACTCCTTATGTACAAAACCTTATTAAAACCCATATGGACATACGGATTGCAGCTATGGGGAATTGCTAAAAAATCTAATCTGAATAAGATACATGTTTTCTAAAATAGGACCTTAAGGAAATTAGTTAACGCTCCTCCATATGTGTCAAACCATACCCTATATATAGATTGTAACTTAAAAACTATTTATGATGAAGCTTAAATGTTATTTGTATAAATAATTTTTTCTTTCTTTTTGGGAAGCAAACCCTTTAATTATATTATCGGTATTCATTACCTTTAAAATATTACTCTCTGAACACAAAATTATAAAACTATATACTATTTTATACTTGTTCTTTATACGAGTTAAAAAAAGAGTTAAAAAACGAAAAAATTAAATATCCACCAGGAGCCTACTATTGTTTGATATCCGTTGTGGGCCCGGAGCCATGGCCTAATCCAGGCTTGATAACGTTACTAATAGATGCGGTGACACAGGATTAGATAACCTGGAGTTTGAAAATTGAACATATTTAATGTCGCGATAGGCCGATTGATAACAATGATTTCATCACAATATTTATAAATAGAACCATTGTAGGAAATTTGAATACAAAAGATGTGTCCAATATATGTTAACCATACTACGTATCGTTTTCGTTTGTTTATACAACATTTAACCCGGCGTTTCTCAACCAGGGAGTCGCTAACACCTTGACTCGGGTTCACGCAAGTCAAAAATAATAAAACGTTGATTTACAAAATGTACCTTTTTATTTAAATATTTAAGACTTGTTAAATAATTTTAAATAAATAATTAGTGTGATCTTTGAATTTGTTTTACATTTAAAAGTTGCTTAATTTGTGGTTCAACATCTGAAACACATAAAAGTAAGTTATTATCTAGTGATAACAAACGATTTCTGTACTTAGTTTTTATTGCCACCTTTTTCGCATAAATAAGAAGTAGCGAACGGAATCAAAATTTTCAATGCCTCTGTTGCCAAAATTCCATATTTATTTTTTCGGGCAATCCAAAACTTATTTAAATCTTGAGATGCAAATTGTACCTGTAATGTCTTATCAACTGATAATTCTATCAGTTGGTTGTGAGTCTCAACTGGTAATTTGGCAACTGCAACAATATTTTCATCAAATGGATTAATGGATTAAGAACCCATATATTTGAGAAGTCATTGTCGTTAAATGAGAAATATTCAAGTAATTGAATTTTCAATTCTCTTAAATGTGTTTTCATGGTATCCAAAACACGATCAAGAATAGGACTTTTTAAGATTACATTTTTTTCAATGTAATTTGATGTTAAATCAAATGCATCAAATTTTTGTTTTTCGAGACGAATGATCCAAATACCAAGTTTTTTGATAAAAGCATTAACTTTATCTGACATTATTAGAATGTTATTTTCACGGCCTTGTAAGCTTATATTCAAGTCATTAAAATGTGAAAATATATCACTTAAATAAGCCAAAAATAGTAATGTCTCATTATCTTGGAAAAAAATTAAAAATGTGTTATTTCGATCGAAATGTGTTATTCCATGTTATTTCGAAAATATTTTTAATTCATTTCGCAACTCAAAAATCCACGTTAAAACTTTTCCTCGTGACAACCACCTAACTTCGGTATAGAAAAGAAGTGACTTGCGCTTGGAGCCCATTTCTTCACATAGTGTGGAAAACAATCTGCACTGCAGTGGTTGACTTTTAATATAACTTACTATTTTTACAGCTTCAGATAACATATTTTTTAAATTATCTGGCATTTTTTTTGCGGTAAATGCAAGCCTGAGAAGAAAAAAATGTGTCCATTTAATATGTGAAATTAATTCTTTTAATTTTACTATTAAACCATTATTTTTCCCTGTTATTGCTCTTGCGCCATCAGAACACACTGATATACATTTGTTCCAGTCCAAATTTTTATTTTTTATTGTTTCAATAAATAATTCAAAAAGATCTTATCCAGTAGCATGACCTGGTATTGATTTGCAAAAAAGCTTATTTTCTTTAATTGTCCCGTCACATTCGTAGCGATAAAAACATAAAAATTGTGCCAAGTTTGTTACGTCTGTTGATTCGTCAAACTGAATAGAAAAATACTCACTTGATTTTAGATTTTGTACTAATTGATTGTGCACATCAGTTGACATTTCATTAATTCGTCTTGATATTGTGTCATTTGAAAATGGAATAGTTTTTAATTTGTTTGCTTCTTCTGCACCTATCATAATATTGACCATATCAATAGCAGCGGGTAGAATGAGATTCTCAGCAATCGTGTGCGGCTTTGATTTCCTAGCTACCCTAAGTGTTACTAAATATGATGTTTCAAGTGTTGTGGTGTTATTCTGACTTGATTTAAGAATACAAGTTTGTTGATTTTTTAAAAAAAGTGATTTACGCTCAAAAAAATCAATTGGTTTTTTTTTACTAAAAGTGGGTGATTTGTTT